GATTTTAAACATAACCAAGCCTTCCTTAAAAGAATGCAAAGACTGCAGCCAGAACCAGTTCCTTCCAGTGTCAAGACACTTCATAACAAAAATCATTAAGATTTTGGTCATGGTCCCCCAATCCCTGTGCCATTTCTGGAGCAGCCCTTCTGCCCTTTGCCAGTATCAGGATCTGTCCTTCACATGGATCACGCTCACACAATGCAAGCCTGAGACCACTGAAATAAATGGACATTTTGTCATATGCCTCAACTTTTGTGGAGTCTATTTAGTATATATAACCCTGAAAAAGTTTGCCGCCATTTACATTTCACTTCTATGCATCCTTGCATCTTACAGACAATTCCAGGATAGACTTGAATATGTCTCCTGTTGGGAGCACAGAACCTAAACTGCAATTTCAAGTCTATCTGGCTCTTCCTCAGAACTATTTGCCACAACCAACTGGCCATGGGCAGGGAAATGACACACAAGGATTTCTGCACATCAAAATGATTGTGTGGCTGCTCTCAGAAAGATGGTTGCTGTCAGGAAGCAAAGATGGAACAGGGGTACCTGCTCCTGAGGACCCAACCCTTCTGAGCCCCCACACTGGGTGGTTTTTGGGGAGCAATGTTTTAAAAAGTGAGAGCCAAGCGCAGAGTGACTTCATTGGCCGGATCTTTCTCCTCCTGCCACAGAGGTGAAGGTGAGGGAAAGCAGCCCCCGGGCAGTGGCAGCAGCAGGAGGAGGAGGAGCCACCAGCCATTGAAGCCACACTGCCATCGCTTTCAGCTCCACACCTGGCTCTTCCCAATGTCCTGATGTCAGGATGTTGCGTGTGTGATGTTGCATGCGCAACGTCAGCCCTCCCAATCTCCCTCACCAGTTGGGGCTTCTGAGATGGAAGAGTTCGTTCCCATGTCCAAACTGATGTGATCCATGCAGAATGGTAGATTGCTCCACCACACCTCCAACGTACAGCTCCACATTTATATCACACCAACCACGCAGTGAAACAATTACATGAACTCTTGGTCATATGTCAACCAGTTCATATTCTCAGTATATTAAGCAGGTTTTGTAGATTTGCCCCCTTAAAAGCAGAACCACTGTTGTAGTTTCCCCTAGTTCTATCAATATCTGTTAGCCCATGACCCTAGATTGCTTGGAACAGAACAGCTACGGGAAGTAATTTCCCTTTTAGCAAAATATACCCTGCTGTATTAATGGATTATTGCTTCCTTATCTTTAACTTTTCATAACACTGGAGAGAACAGAAATAGACTTTGGCATCTTAAAGGGGTGAAAAAATATATCTATTTACTGTTAGGAGGAGGGGATTTTCCTAACTAATGCAGGGATTGTTGTTGTTTAGTCGTGTCTGCCTCTTCATGACCCCCTGGACCAGAGCACGCCAGGCACTCCTGTCTTCCACTGCCTCCCGCAGTTTGGTCAAACTCATGCTGGTAGCTTCGAGAACACTGTCCCACCATCTCGTCCTCCATCGTCCCCTTCTCCTTGTGCCCTCCATCTTTCCCAACATCAGGGTCTTTTCCAGGGAGTCCTCTCTTCTCATGAGGTGGACAAAGTATTGGAGCCTCAGCTTCAGGATCTGTCCTTCCAGTGAGCACTCAGGGCTGATTTCCTTCAGAATGGAGAGGTATGATCTTCTTGCAGTCCATGGGACTCTCAAGAGTCTCCCTCCAGCACCATAATTCAAAAGCATCGATTCTTTGGCGATCAGCCTTCTTTATGGTCCATATTCTAAAAGGTGTTAGCTCAAGCCTCCATCTGTAGTAGAGATATTGTGAATATCTATCCCTGCTTCGTTTCTGAAACCGACATGCTGGCTGTTGTGGCTAAGTGTCCTAACATACAGTAGGTATCATGGGAGCCTCTTTTGCTCTCACAATACACCAAAGTGGTGACTTGTGGGAACAGTTAAGCTAACTTTTGGAGGATAAGGTGTACATAGTGGGCAACAATCAATCTGATCTATATTCTCTTGCTTAGATAAATGTTAATGCTTTTAAATGGGCAGCGTGACGCAAATTTAAGCTACTTATGAACGCAAAGTATGGTGGGATAGGAGAGCTGGGGGGAAATTCACACCTGACAACTAATGCGCCCCTTGGGTTTCAGACAGTACATGGGTTGACAAGTCCCAAAAGTCCAGGACACAAAGTGGCTATGGTTTACCAGAAGTAATGTATTTCATGTTAAATCTGAAAGTATATACTCAATTCTGACCAAATTAAGCCTCCAAGAGCAAAACATACATCAGGCGGCTTAGTTTGGTCAGAATCCAGGGCTTTTTAGACTGTCTACCCATGTGCTGTCTGGAACCAAAGGGGTGCATTGGTTGCTAGATGTGAAATATATTGGCATTGTTTTCAGCTCTCCTACCCCACCAAGTAGGGACGCGGGTGGCGCTGTGGGTAAAACCTCAGCGCCTAGGACTTGCCGATCGCATGGTCGGCGGTTCGAATCCCCGCAGCGGGGTGCGCTCCCGTTGCTCGGTCCCAGCGCCTGCCAACCTAGCAGTTCGAAAGCACCCCCGGGTGCAAGTAGATAAATAGGGACCGCTTACCAGCAGGAAGGTAAATGGCGTTCCGTGTGCTGCGCTGGCTCGCCACATGCAGCTTGTCACGCTGGCTACGTGACCCGGAAGTGTCTCCGGACAGCGCTGGCTCCCGGCCTATAGAGTGAGATGAGCGCACAACCCTAGAGTCTGGCAAGACTGGCCCGTACGGGCAGGGGTACCTTTACCTTACCCCGCCAAGTAAGATACTGATTTGGATCAGAATTTAAAACATACAAATACTGATTTAGAAAGTAGCCTAGTTTGCAATCCAAAATATGCCTAGCGGAGTAAGGTCCTCTGGGCATTTGGTTATTCACCTTGAGGTGCCACCTGAACAGCAATACATAGTCAGAAAACAGAGGGAGACGAGGTCTTTTGGAATTCCAGTGAATTAAAGGTGCAAGTCAAGTACAGTGTACTCTACTCTCATTTTTAACCCAATGGTGATCTAAGGAGGGATAGACTATGACAAGCCACTTACATGTAACTAAGATCTGTTCTAGGTAGTCTACCGATGTTTTTAACATTTATCACCCATACGCAAGTATTGCCAATTGCAGGCACACAGATACATCTTGGCTCCCACGACTGAGTAGCTAACAATGAACATTAAAAGTTCGCAATGCAAGCCTAACATACAAAAAAGGGGTGACTGCTTGGGGTAACCATGATTACAGTTTGCACATTTTCCTCCTTTTTGTGAAGTTTGAGACAGTGGCTTCTAAACCAATAGTGGCAGAACCTATCTATAGGCATGAAACACTCACAAGTGTCCTTCGCAGCTGCACATGTAAGGCATAGGGAGACTTGAAGCAAGACACACTGTAGAGTACGCTCAGGCACCAAGAGTTGAAAGTTTATTCCATAACAATATCCCACAAAGTAAACTGGAATTTCAAAAATTTCTGATTTAAGATACCGTAAGCCCACAACTTACACAGGGGATACGTTCTGGGGATCGTGCCTAAAGACAAAATCACTTACAGTCAAAACCCACTGTTGGCTGGGATTGCCAAAGTCATTTTTCCTGCATCCTCCCCCCCCTTTTATTTATTCATTTTTGGCCATGCATGTAAAGCTGAATGCACACAAGTTAAATGTGCCTAAGTTGTGGCTTACTGTATGTTGGGGGGACGGGGTCAAACAGCGCAAGATGCTACTCCCTAGGGAAGCCCAAGGGCACCCCACACTGCTGGAAACTGAGACAGGAATGATAGTTTTATGTTTGGGAGACTTCAAAGTCATTTGCAAAGTAATCTCGTTTGGGAGGCTTAAGAATAAACTATATACACACACAAAAACAAAAGCATAGCTAAGCATCCCCCCTATAGAGGAAGCTAAAGCTTGGTATAACATCTGCTGTGCACATTTGAAAAGATGCAAGTTTGTTTCTTGGCATCTCCTTCTAAGAGGATCTTTGGGCAACGGTAGAAAATGCCACTTTCTGCCCGAGAGCTTACAGAGCTGCCTCCTGATCGAAAGTAAACTGCTGTGGGCTGGAGCCCAAACTGACTGATGGTCTCCCTCAGGATAAGGCGACTTCATACATCAAGGTCTAAGGCAGAGTTGGTAATAAAAAGCTCCATTCTGGGCAGGGGCGGCTGGCCTGAGGCAAAACAGGAAGGTGCCACCCGGCTGGGTTGTGTGGCGGCATCCACAAAGCGGTGGCTTCCAGCAAGATCTTGCAGAGCACACAAGGTCTGGTGAGATTTCTGCAAGGTCGCACTGGGAGCTGCCACTGCCGCTACCGCCACTTCTCTAGCGGTGGCAGACGTGGTGGGGAGCCTATGAGGGTGCCATCTCTTGGGGTTCCGCCACCTGAGGCAGCTGCCCCAGCCTGCCTCATGGGTGGGCCGGCCCTGATCCTGGGAAGGCCTTCCCTCTTGAAGTGTCCCTGCTGCTCTTCCCTGAGTCCTGCCCTTCTGCCTGAATTGCTATGCATGGGCTTAGGAGGCCAGATAAATTGCCCACCTTATTCTAGACTTGTTTCAGGTGTCAACTAAACACAAAGGAAGTGAGTAGGGGGGGTTGGGCGGTGCAGGTAAGTCAGATTCAGCCCACAACTTCCAGTACAAATTCCAGTGACATGCACAGGAATGCAAGCAGGGGGGAAAGAAGATTGACTTGACTCCATAAATTGTATGTCTATAAAATTGGAAGGGAAATCCAGGCAATAATCGGAAACTCACTGAGGGTCCCATATACATATGCAGCTGCAGACATAGACAGCTGGGTTGCCTTCTTGGGTGAGGAATGGGCTGTATTCTGGGCACATGGAGCCTTTTTCCAGGTCGCAGCAGATAACAAGGCAGTCCCAGCGTGCATGATGCTACAAAAGTGTGCACCCTTAAGAGGCTGTATAAAACTGCACCTATGTGTATTTATATATACATAATATACCCTGGAGTTATTTACACATAGCAAAAGAACACTATGTGCTTAATGTGATTTATTCAATCAGCAAAGAATTGTAAACACATTGTGGTAGTAAAATAGCTTTTTTTTAAAAAAAAACCCTACAGATACGGATCTCTATCATTTTCACATTTGGAGAACTATTTCACATTTCCCCCTATTTATTCAAAAAGGGCCTGATGATAACCTATTGTATGGAAAGGAGATAATGAAGGCCGGCATCACTGCACGTTTACAGTATGTTTTGCACTTAAATAAATACTTAAAGGGGGCAGAAGTCACTGACAAGGAATATACAGGGATGAGAGCAGCTGATGTGAGAATATTCCAAGTACACTGTTGCATGCAAACAGCGACTTAGGTTGCAATCCTATGCACGTTCACCCAGCAGCAAACCCCAAAGAACACAGTGGGACTTATTTTTGAGTAGACATGAATGGGATTGTGTTATTAGGTGACTAGACTGGAGGAAACTGCGGCCTGGTGCACGGACACCCAGGCCTTGCTTCTTCTGACACAGCCTCCTCCTTCAGTGGCACAGTGGTAGAAAAAGGGATAGAAAAAGCCAACAGTTTCAGAACAAGGAATGGGGATGGGGAAAAGAAGAGAAACTGGGATGTCAGAAGAGCATGTCGTTGTTTCACAAAACTGCTTGCTTTTTAGACATCCACGCTTCAATGGTAGCATCTCTTGTCTTTTTGTGTTAAAATAAATGAAAAATGAACATGGATCACTCATTTTAAAAGTAGCTTTCCCTGCCTCTAGAAGGCCACCTGATATGTAATGCCTGCTCTAAAATCTTTTGATGAGAGTTCTGCAGTAGACTTTAGTGCTAAAGGAAGTTTCTATCAAAAGCAAAACTACTATTTGCCCAGACATGGTGGCATTATTGTTACCTTAAGCTCCTCCTTACAATGAGTAATCAGTGTTCATGGCCAATTCATGTGAGCAAATAGCTGCTAGGTTTTCGGACAAAAAATGTTTCCCGAAAAGCAAAATACGCAAGAGACATGCTAGACTGGATCAACAAATCAGGTATCTTCCTGGTGTGCTTATCTGCTCATATTACAGCAATGGAGTCTTTCACATCCACTGTGTTAATTAGCTGCCACTGGAGGACGTAGCTGGATTTGTTCTGAATATTCTACTTATGTAATGAAGTTCCGTGTAATAACATGGGGTTCCCCATAAGCCTAGCTTCGCTTTAAGCTTGACAAATGGGTTCCAGAGGGTCTGAATTAAAGTATTCAGTGCTCATTGTTCCATCAAAGCAAACAGCCCTATTATCAACACTCTAGACACTGAGCTTGTCTCCAGAAAGCAAATGGATATATAACTGATACCAACTATCACTATTTCAATACCAACAGGCCTGGCACACTCACAGACCCTTTCTGGCAACCACCAAAACCACCATTCTGCAAAAACATGCCGAAAATTCTACAGACTTCCTTCTTCCCAAACCTGACATTTCAACATGTCAAAAAACGAAGGTTCCAGGCATACAACGGCAGTGCTTAACAACACTATTATTATTATTTTGGATTCATGCTTGTAGTGCATGCTGAAGAATGCATGGTTGTAAGTCACAATAAATACCTTCCTTAACAACGAGGATAAAGAGAACTGCAAATGACAGATGGCCAGTGCTCGGACAAGGGCCAACTTCAAGGTGCTGGCCTGTGTGAAGGAACAGTCAGAATTACTGTAAGCAAATCAGTGCAGCCAACTCTTCAGCGTTTACTGAGCCTGTCAAAGAGACAGCTATTAAGAATGGCAGTAAAGTTGATCAATCTCTATTCTTCCACAGAGGAGATACAGCTGACCTGTATTCCACAGAAAACAAGGCTGAGGACTCAACTGCTGGCAAACCTCCAAGATTACAGCTATTATTTTACTGGAGTGTAAGTTCAACACAGTGTGGTATTTACTCAATAATAAAGACAGGACACATAAAATTCACCTCATTGACTAGACAGTTACTCTTCAGCATACACGCATAGAAATCTTTCAAATAAATAAATACATTACGTATGTTGTCCTTTTTCAGGAAATGTGTTAATTATATCCCTTTTCTCCCTTAAAAGAAGCAACATTTCAGCACTATTTAGACTCTGGCTCACTGGAACATGATGGTTGATGACATCATTTGTAAAACAATGAATCTGTATTTAATATTTTCTACCTTTGTTTTCCATCAGCAAACAATCTGACAATTAAATTATGTCTGCTTTACACTGAGTGAACAAGAAAACAACAAATTTCCTTTACTTTGGAACTATTTAACCAACATAATGAATCAAAATGTTGTTTAAGGTAATGATCCAGACAAAGTAGATAATTTCAACTGGTAGTATTTCAAATATATATTTGGGTGGGGGTTTGAACTGCCATATTTCACGTATGTTGCAATCTTAAAGAAATAGTAATACATAACTTCAATGACACATAGTGTTTTGGTTTCTGTTTTTGTTTTTTTTTCTTTAAAGAAAATTTGCGGAGGCCAGGAGAGAGAGCTGCAATTTCCCTTTTCTTTGAGAACAGGGACAAGTGGGGTCTCAGTTTTCTACTAATGGAGGGGGAAAGTTGCTTTAAATTATTGTTTCTGCTCTTGTTCGCAAATGGTTGAAATAAATGTATTGGCTTTTACAGGATAGCACCTTTTCAAAAATAAAATAAAAGTCAATAGCCATTTAATTCCCTTCAGTTAAAGGCTGAATTCTTACGTTTGAGGTGCATCTGTTCCATATTAAGACATTGTTCAATAATAAATAATCAAATTGAGCAACTGGATTCTTTTTAGCAAAGCTACTAGCACGTGTAGCCTCCACTGTAGAAAAAAGACAGCAGAACAAGACAGAGAATTAGGCATATAGGAATGTTTGCGACCTGCTACCAGTACAGACGAGGTGTGGTGAGAGAGCCCTTGGTGTGGTTTCTTGATCAGACTGCTCTGCTGCTTCCTTTTCACTGCCATAAAGCATGAGGAATGTAATGAAGTGGTGCTTCACTGCAAGAGTCTCAGTCGATGTCAAAAGTGGGTCCTACAAGACAGCTTTCCAACATAGTCTTTTTGGCATTTACAGCAACAGGTGAGGCTCGTCTTGCTCACCCCTCACAGGTGAACCTTCGGGCTTACTTGCTTCCTTGCACTTTCTGATCGTACGTGCCAGCATGCTTATACCCGGATACATAGCCAGACGTATCCACCAGATCTTCACGTCCTGCTTTGCCTTTGCCTTTCCCAGTGGGATCAAATCTCTCTTTATGGGAACCAGTGAAACGTGTTGTGTCTGTAAGCCGTGAGACAGTCGGAGATGAAATGGCTTTCTATTAATGGGGAGAGAGAAAGACAGACAGACAGAAGAGAGCATTAACAATGTAAATAACACACACACACACGTACATGAATATATATGTAAATCAAGGTACTATAACTTCATGGTTCTGAGGACCTCTGTTCTGCTTTGCTTGTTCCTTGCAGACCATCAATCATGACTGGCTCGTGGGTTTTGGCTACCCTAAACAAGACAGGATGGGGTTTTTTAATGCTTGGTCAATAACTGGGATCAAATGAACCCTCACAGTGCTGACATGTTTTATTCAAATCTTCTATAGCTCCATGTTCCAGCAGTTCCTCAAACATAATGCGATGTGAATTGCCATGTGATGTTTCAGCCGTCCTCCTAAATCTGGTGGTGGGAAATGATATTTATATTCATAAGTTTTTGGGGGAGTAAATTCTATCCCTGGTCTACATGAGCACTTCTAAAACATATGATCAAATGGCAGTCAGCAGTTTTGCTGGTGCTTTCAAATACAGTAGGCATTGCTTCTTGAAATGCCCACGTTGTTTGGCAGCTGAACCACCCGTGATGTAAACATCCCAAGAGATTTAGCTCCTTAGAAGACCTGTGTCTAGAATCAATAGAACTCTGGGATGAGTTTTAAAACATAACCCAGCTTCCACCAAGAAATGGGTCAGGTGTCCTCTCTGTGGTCAAAGCATAGGCAGAAAACTACAGCAATGGTGCTTACCTTTAAAGTCCTACTCAGCCTAAGACCTGAAATAACAGCTGTGGCCACACTCATCTGCCCCTGTACTGAGGTCATTGTCTAAGGGTCTCCTCTGGCTCCCTCCACCACCCAAGGCAAGGTGACCAGAGACAGAGAGCTTTGTCAGTGGTGGCACCCCAAACCAGAGGGCCTGAGGAAATAAACACACATTTGCCAGATGCTGAACAGTTAACATTGTTGGCACCAGGCAGATATATCTTTATCTGCACAGGCTTTTGAATATATTTTAATGTAATAATGGTTTTTAATGTTTATGTTTTATTTATGTTTTATATTTCTTTTGTAAACTGCCCTGGACACCCTGAAAAAGGGTACTGTAAAAATCTTGACATTGTTCTTGTAACTGTTATGTTCTTTTTACACTGTGAGGTATTCTTGACCTCTTGGCAAATATTTTGGAAAGCTCTCAACCCAGTTTTAATTTATTCACCTTTACTTCCAAATGATGTCATCCTTGGGAATTTTTATTTTTGTGACTTTATTTGGAGAATTACAACAACAAAAAATAGATCGATGCAACAAATTATGCAATCAATCCAAATGTGTTTTGAAAAAAATTACATAGTGTCATCTATGTAGCATAAAATGAGTGATGAGATCTCTGTCTGAAAGGTCTTATCTAAAAATAGACAGAAAGGAGAGTGGGAGATGGAATTGTGTGAATAATATATTATTATTTCAGTGAGAGCAACAGGTTTAATTACAGTAGGATATTAGGACTGGACTTTAATGTGAACAGAGTTGCTTCTACATCACTGCAGAGGATTGTGGGACACACTTAGTTCACAGGGAGAGTTGGCCATGTCTGAGCATGAATGTTTGGACAAGGAAACTACTTCCAGCTTGATAGCTAGACCTTAGCCATCCTGCCCTAGGGAGAAGACTAACCTTCTTGAAGGGCTGGCCCAGAACGTTTTGCTGCTTGAGGCAAACCCCACTGCCACTGCACCCCACTGCAAGCATGCACTGCTGCCTCCTTCTCGTCCTCCACAGACACACCATGCTGCTGCCATGCCCCTGCCTCCTCCACAATGGGTGTGCCCTGCCACCACGCGCACACCCCCTTGCCACTGCCACAGGGGATGGCTTTGGTATGCCCACAGAGGAGTAGGTGGTGGAGGTGTGGCAGCAGAGATGGATGCACAGTTGCACAGGCAGAGGAGTCAGCAAGCGGCATGCTCCTTGGGCCCAGGTCTTCCGCCCGAGGTGCCTGCCTCACCTTGCCTCACGGGTGGGTCAGCCCTGCCTGCCGGTGTAGTACAGCTCGCCTTGCCACAGCATTTTCTTACTACCTGGCCATCATACAGGAGGCCACGTCAAAGGTTTTTAAATTAAAGCACTGAATTTGTCTTTAGTGCATTTATGGGAGGGGACCATGCACACAGTCCACTATGTCCAGGTTGGCTCCCCTGCAGCTTTCAATACTGAAAAGGAAAGTCATTATTTGGGTTTAAAATAATTAATTTATTAAAAAAACTAAAACAATTTCCCCCTTTAGCATGTGGCAGAAATTTATCTGATATCTGATACTTGAGCAAATGCTATTATTTTCACTGTGGACTGGTGCCAGTAGAGATTTTGCCAGTGCCGAGAAAACAGTAAGCGATGCAGGACCGACCAAGCCATGAGGCAAGGTGAGGCAACTGCCTTAGGCGGCAGGATCCATGGGGCAGCAGATCCCATATATAGATCTTTAGTCCCCCCTTGTTCCCGATGTAGGATCTTCACTCATCCCTTCTTGCCTGGCCAGGGAAGGAAGCACCATTTTGTGCCAAAATGTCTTGGGCTTGCCCTAAAGACTGGGGATTCCTTCCAAATTGCTCCTAACTGAGTAAACATTGGGCTTTCCAAAGTCCACCCAAAGGCATGATGGAACATTGCCATGTCCTTTTTCAAAGCTGGTGGCTGCAAGCCTTTCTGGCCACCTCTTAGCACAAATCATTCTGGGAGACAGGATGACTGAACATTCTGCCTCTAAAGGCATCTACTTCAAAAGAAAAATGGAATTTGAGCTAGGAAAATCCATGGCTCTGCTGGACGTGCTCAAAAGAACCTTGGAGATAACAATTCAAATGGCGTAAGAGTTTCCATTCCTTTCTTTTTCACCGCTCATTGTGGATGCTGTGAAATTTATAGGTTGGATGGAAGAGTTCAAGTGCCAGCTGTTCTAAACTTGATTAATGTCCACCATGCTTTGCATATATATCAACCAAGGCATCAAAGAAACAGCAAAGGTCTCCGATACAACAGTGGGGTCAGCCTTTAAGACACCACAGATTCAGTTCTCTGCAGTTTTCCTAATCCATAGCAATCAACCATGTACATGTCACATTATTCTTAAGTCAAATCTCAGCTTGTCCAGTAGCTGTGCAGTCAGAGGCTTCTGGTGGGAGTGCCTGCTTCACAGAAAACACTGTTCAATATTGCATTTTGAATTTGGGGCACCTTTGTGTACACATCACGCTTTGAAGTCCACAGGTCCTAAGAGGCATTGACCACATTACATGAGATAGGGGGATTCAATTCCCAGGCACTGGAACAGGTTGTCCTCCTTCATTGATCAATCTTAGGCTTTCAACATATTAAGTTCCACTGAGGTAAGGAGCAGAGCGTGGCCCTCCACCTCAGCCATCACCTCAGCAAACTTCTCAGCTTCAGTTCAATTTCTATAAAGTGCCATGGGTCTTGAACCAGGAATAATGGCATAGCTTTCTCCCAGTAGTGGATGGGGGGTGGGTGGGTGGGCTGCCACGGCTTACCTAACATCCAGTTGGTTGCTACCACTTACCAGGAGATGGAGTCAGTGGTGACATCAGTGTGTTGCAAATGCACCGGCTCAGCTCGGCTGGCATATTTGTACTGTGCCAACCTTTCTCCTCATCTACCGCCTGGTATGTCGCATAAACACAACTGACCAGAGGTCAGGTGAGCAGTGGCAACCCACTGCTGCTTACTCCCCACACCATCATGGTATTTGGTAAGTGAGCCTTTGCATCATTCACTCATTTAAACCCATAATATTGTTGATAAAGCTAGTGTGAAAGAGGTAGTGCCACTGCTCACTTGGCAATGCCATGGGCTGGCGATGGCTCGCCTTGCTTTGTTAATCTTCAGAATCAGCCCTGGATTTTGAGAGTAGAAGCGAGCGACTCATTTCCACAGTTAGGACTGGGCTGCAGCTTGGTGATCGAATACCCAGTGTGGCTTAGAATGCACCAGAATGTGCAGCCTTTGTGGGATAGGTAAGCAACAGTGGCGTAGCGTGGGGGGTGCAGGGGGTGCCGGCCGCACCGGGCGCAACATCTGGGGTTAGGGCAAATCCACAGGTTAGGGGGCGCAAATCCACGGGTTAGGGGGCGCAAATCCACGGGTTAGGGGGTGCAAATCCACGGGTTAGGGGGCGCAAATTACTTGCCTTGCCCCGGGTGCTGACAACCCACACTACGCCACTGGTAAGCAAAGAAAGCCACAGTGATTGCCCCTTCGTACTTGTATACAGTAGGGTACATGGAATTTGCCCCATCTTGGAAAGAGCTCAAAGTTCTCACTTTCCATTTAGCTGCATGTTGATGAGCACTATGCAGACTACAGCAAAATTCTTTATACACGTGGCAAAAGGAAACTAAATGGCTGGAGTATTGTTCTAAAAAAAGGAATGATCAACTGACTAAGCTTGGGCAGCTCGATCCTTCCAAATCCAACTATTTGGAGACTGCACCATGCCCCCCTGACAGCACACACACACACACACACACACACACACACACATCACTAAGCTTGGAGTAGAATGGGAAAGATGCAAGAGTGAAAGAGCTGATTTTATTCACGCTGAAGACAGTCAGAAGCTGGCTTCATCCATTTCCACCCTTGCATCATTCACTCATTTAGCCATGCTTCTAGATTAAGATAGGTAGCTGAGTTGGTCTGACACATTTTTTTAAAAAAAGTTGTGACTCCTGTTTCAGTGTATCTGAAGAAGTGTGCATGCACACAAAAGCTTATACCCAGAACAAACTTAGTTGGTCTGTAAGGTGCTACTTGACTATTTTTTAATTTTTTATTTCATTTAGCCACGTTATGTGTGTGTGGGGGGGGGCTGATATTTGCTGGTACAGTGGGAGCCACACAATGCCCTGGGCTGCATCAATAGGAGTATAGCATCTAGATCAAGGGAAGTAATAGTGCCACTGTATTCTGCTCTGGTCAGACCTCACCTGGAGTACTGTGTCCAGTTCTGGGCACCACAGTTCAAGAAGGACACTGACAAACTGGAACGTGTCCAGAGGAGGGCAACCAAAATGGTCAAAGGCCTGGAAACGATGCCTTATGAGGAACGGCTAAGGGAGCTGGGCATGTTTAGCCTGGAGAAGAGGAGGTTAAGGGGTGATATGATAGCCATGTTCAAATATATAAAAGGATGTCATATGGAGGAGGGAGAAAGGTTGTTTTCTGGTGCTCCAGAGAAGCAGACACGGAGCAATGGATCCAAACTACAAGAAAGAAGATTCCACCTAAACATTAGGAAGAACTTCCTGACAGTAAGAGCTGTTTGACAGTGGAATTTGCTGCCAAGGAGTGTGGTGGAGTCTCCTTCTTTGGAGGTCTTTAAGCAGAGGCTTGACAACCATATGTCAGGAGTGCTCTGATGGTGTTTCCTGCTTGGCAGGGGGTTGGGCTCGATGGCCCTTGTGGTCTATTCCAACTCTATGATTCTATGATTCTTTAAGCATTAGGTGAACAGGAATATTGGCCATTAGGCTCCAACTCTTATGGAATGTTCTGGCTTAGCAAAAGCTGCCCTGCCACAAAGAACATTAGAGTGAAACCAGATGAGCATCCTGCTGGGTTGATCAAAACTTCAGGACTCTTCTTGTGAGAGAAAATGAGAAGCCTATGATTTGAAGAGAGGCCTTAGAAAAGAATGTCAGAGTTACTGAGCATCAGGCTCCCATACCGTGACTCCAGCTATGACGGGGGCCTTCCCTTCGATGAGCTTGTGCATTTCTTGCACTGCTTCCTCGTTGCTCTTGTCTTTGAAACGCTTCTTGGACAGCTCCTGAAGTGCTTCCTTGAACTGCTCAAAAGTAATTGTCCTGGATTTCCCCCTAAAGCAGACAAAACAAAAATGGGAGACGTTACAGAAACATCTCAATGTACCTGTAAGGATTACTGCACAAACAGTATTTACCATGTGGGCCACTAAATCTCCTGGTTTCCATGTCCTTAACAGAACATCTAATCTTCGGTTTCTGCTCTAAAACAGTTTTACTGTCCCCACAGGTTGCCTTCAATGCTTTGGAGAAGTCGAAGATCCATTTGATGTCAGAAAGAGAGTAGATTGTGAGAGGCATCTTCCCCTTTGCTATCAATCTTTGTTATTAACAGTGTAGTGCCACTCTAGGAATACTTTGGGAAGACATCGCTGCTCTGCTAATTTTCTCAAAACTGCAGGAGGCTCTAGGGCTTAGTATGGGAACAAATTTGTATCCAAGAAGAACTTATTTTAGCTGTCTTAAATAGTATTACTATTTTTTCAGCTGTGCTCTTGGACTATTCTTTTATCTGAACTACGTGCATGAATATTGGCCTTGATCTAGCTAAAGTCAATCGCAGGCCTTACAGTGAAACCCTATTCTTGTCCACTGAAAAATAAATTCCAGTGAGTTCAGTTCAATGGGGCTTACTGGTAAGAGACATCGGGTTGTAACCTTGTCCAATGGAACAAGCTTGCTGCAACTTTCTTAATCCCGTTCAGTGGGACCTCCAACACAATCTTATGGTGGTTTAGTTAGAATTTAGTTCCGCGATGCCCAGTTGTGGGGCTCACTATCAAAAAATGAGAAGAAGATACTTAGGCACAAGGAACTTGGGGCAACTGGCTTTTAAGAAAGTAAAATGGCAAGATGACACCAATAAAAGGGGGGGTGCCAGGAGGTCTTTAGGGGAGACTTTTGATCTGCAACAGAAATGGTCATCTTGAGCATTTTGTGACCATTTTTTTAAGCAAACAGTGTTCACACACAAAAACATACAGGTCACACCTTTCCCATTCTGCTGTGTTCTTAAATTACAGTGCATAACGGTAATTTTTTGTTGTGTCGTCACTGACTGGCAGGTAATTTATCCACCTGGAAATCTGCCCTGAGGCTAATCAAGTATCATCCCTGTTCTTGTGCAGATGCCAAGAGATCTGCGAGGAGTTAAGTCATGACCTTGGTCTTAGAGCAATGACTTCAGCAGAGGAGCTGTGCCCTAGCTCTGTGCTGCAGCTACACAACTCTCCAACTTCACAGAGGAGTTTTAAAACCCCTGCTCTTCTCGCACCAAGGAGCCACACATGAGCTTTTCATCCTTGTTACACATTTTATTCAGTTAATCCGTTACCAGCTACTGAAACAGTTATTTTAGCTGAGTTATTACTTCAGTAATCAGTCCTCTGTATATTCTCTCCCTTGTCATTTCTCTGGTTTCAATGGCTTTTGAAAAGTATCTGAAACATACTGCATTTCTCAGCTCAAAACTCAGGGGAAACCAGTCTGATTGCTCTGTCTGTCCACTTACTCAGCACACATGGTTTTTCTCCACCCACCCACAAACATAATGATCAGACCAGACTCATGCATAACAAACACTAAACCAAACCATGGTTTACTGCAAATGCATGTAAACCCCTTTCCCTAAGCTGTGGTTTGGCTTACAGGCATACTGCTAAACCAATCTGTGCCATCCTTAGTCCATTTTCCTGGAAACTTAAAATAGCTCCCCTTCCTCTCTCCTCTGACCCCGGAGTGGGAAGTTAAAAATAATAATAATAAATACTATTGTGGGGACTTCCAAATTGGCCTCACTTCCAAATGGTCTTACATCTCTCCTCACTCTTAGTAGGAATCTCCCTTCTCTGTCGTGGCATCTAACATGGTCACACAAATTCACAAACTGCTTCTCAGCCTTCCATGCTCTCCGCCCCCCCCCCCCATGTTGTGGAGCTAAAATCCAACTCTCCTATAGGATGAGGAACTGAAGGTGAACTGAGGACGACAGGCAAAGGCTGAATACTCTGTTCCAGTTCTACACTTTCAGGGATTTGAAAGAGGCAGAATCTGCCTCAGGCTCAGAATTATTCGTCAATAGTCGTACCACATAGAAACACGAGCATAAGCCAGTTAGGCAGTGACTGCCTGACCTAATTACTCAGTTTCTAAGATAAATCCTAAAATATACTGAGCAATATCTTCACCAAATACTCACCATGGTTCTACACACATCTCTAATTTAGGGCAATTTATTTTACTCAAACTGGACTGAATGTTATATCACATAACAACACCCAGGTGTTTGGAGAACTTAGGTTGTAAGTGGGCTATCCGTCCAGGGAAGATGCTAATTCCAGTTCATTAAACCAACCTGTCTGAATTAAGGAGTGATTGGACATAACCTTGGCTAAAACTGGGTGGAAGAACATCTAGTGACTTGCTGGGAAGTAGAAAAGATGGATGAAAACTGGATCATTTCAAGAGCAACCAGGTTAAGAAAAATACATTCAAGGGAGGTTTAATGCTATAGCTGAACAGAGTTTAATGTGAACAGAGCTTTGCAAAGACCCTGGCAGATCAGTACGGAGGTCTCCTGCTAATGCTTTTAAATTCAGGCTATTCTATGTGATTTGTACAAATGAGAGAGAGAGAGAGAGAGAGAGAGAAGGAGGAGGAGGAGGAGGAGAGGGGGAAGAAGAAGAAGAAGAAGAAGAAGAAGAAGAAGAAGAAGAAGAAGAAGAAGATCACACCATTTTCATCAAAGTATTTTTATCTCTCAATATTATGTTTTCCTAAAATGCAGGTTTAAATATTCAGAAAAGCACACTGTATAGTTCTGCAGCAGAAGGAACAAGAGCTAGTATGACAGCGAGAAAGGCTCCAGCCTGCAAATGCTAGATCACATGTAGACTGCTTTTCAAAACAAAACAAAAAGGGGGAGAGCATTCGCCTGTGTTTTTTCCTTTAAAATAATGAATGGAACTAGAGAGCCAGTCAGAAACACAAAATGCAAATATAAGCTATTTAAGAAATGTACCACATTGTGAAGAAGAAAAGGGAATACAGGAGAAAAGAGAACCAAAACAATTATGGTGTAAAGAAAGTCTACACCAAGCTTTGAGGATATAAACTCAGTGATAATGGTCAGTAGTTCTGACCAGAAAATGAAAATCAAGATGAAAAGCACCACAACAGGACAAAATGAATAAAGCTGTAAATAAGAGAAATAAAACTGGGAAATTCTGAAGCTGTGGGGAAGATAGATTTTCTCCCCCCCCCTTTCCCCTGGGGGAAAATTGTCATTTTAAGGGGGGGAAATCTATATATTCAACAGTCACATAAAAAGGTTTAGAGGTTATGGAATATGCTGCTTAGCATATAAAATATCATCCTCTGCACCAAATAAAGTGTATGTCTGCATTATGATACATCCATGTACGACACTGTGCTGACACTGGCATATTGGTTAACCCTGTTAATTCTCTCTCTTAATTGGCTAAAAAGAAATATTCTTTATCTGTTTGCAGGGTGCGGGACTAGGTTACCACCAGGCCTCCTTCCAATTCAGTCATTCCCTGTTTATGGTAATGGCTGCTAGTAGGGCAATTTGTAGTGGTAAAATAGTTTGGGATGCTTGATGGCTTCAGTTGCATAGACTGCATACATCTATTCGAGTGAAGAGGAAAATCTATGACTTCCAAGATGTCAGCTTGGAAAGCACTATGAACAGAGCCTTTTCAGCTATGGCCCCCTCCCTTCCATTGGAACTCTCTTCCTAAAGATACCTACTGAATACCTTCCTTGAATATTTTTAGGTAGTGGGTTACATTTTTTATTCCGCTGGGCTTTTGATAGATTACTTTTTGGTCTTCTTTATGATGCTGAATCAATTTAGGAATTGATTTCAGAATCTGTTTTCATCAGCTGATTTTTATATTAGTTTAAATATTTATTTTAGTTCCTCCAGGCTAGAAATTAAAGTAATAAAACAGTCTAAAAGGACAGGCCTCACCTCCTGCACTCAAACAGCAGCACCTTTCTCAACTGTGTTCAGCTGTCAACTGTAATAATAGGAAATGCCTGGCCCCTGGGAAAATGACAAAGTCTACAGTGGTGCCCCGCAAGACGAAATTAATTCGTTCCGCAATTTTTGTCGTCTAGCGAATTTTTCGTCTTGCGAAGCACGGTTTCCCATAGGAATGCATTGAAAATCAATTAATGCGTTCCTAGGGAAACCGCTTGCCAGGCTGGCGGTGCGGAGAAGGGCTTTTCTCCCCACCGCAAGCCTTCAGCACAGGTACGGGAACAGAGGGGAAGGTGCGCAGCGCTTTCCCTCTGTTCCCGGGGCTTGCGTGGGAGGAGGGTTTTTCCTCCCCACCGCCAACATTCAGAACAGCATTCTGAATGTTGGCGGTGGGAAGGAAAACCCTTCTCCCACCCCAAGTCTTCAGGACAGCCATCCGAAGGCTGGCGCGGGGAGAAGGTCTCTCCGCCCCCCCCCCACGCCAGGCTTCGGTGCATCCTTCAGAGGCTGCTGCCATAGTCACGCGTCACTTCTCCAGCTGGGAGAGGGTCGCGGGGCTATGGTTTCTTTAGCCCCGCGCGCGCTCTCCCGGCTGGAGAGGTGACGGGCGCCTATGGAGGTTCCTGCCATATGCGCGCGTCACAACTCCAGCTGGGAGAGGGTCGCGGGGGGCTGGTTTAGCCCCGCGCGCGCTCTCCTGGCTGGAGAGGTGACGGGCGCCTATGGAGGCTCCTGCCATAGGCGCGCGTCACTTCTCCAGCTGGGAGAGGGTCGCGGGGGGCTGGTTTAGCCCCGCGCGCGCTCTCCTGGCTGGAGAGGTGACGGGCGCCTATGGAGGTTCCTATGGAGCTGTTCCTGGAACAGCTTTCCGAAGTGGGGCGGCTGGGGCAGATGTCCCCGCCCCCCCTCCCCGCTTCGGAACAGCTTTCCGAAGTGGGGCGGCTGGGGCAGGTGACCCCGCCCCCCCGCCCCACTTCGGAACAGCTGCAAAAGACGTCAGGGGGAAGCGGGGAAGCGAAGCGCTTCGCTTCCCGCTTCCCCCGGACCT